TGAGGCGCGTGGGCCGCCGCACTGGCACACCATCAATGGCACAAGCATTGCCGCAGGGGTGTAGGGTGAGCGTCCCCGCAGCGTTCTCGATGTAGCAGTGCTGGGGAGCCAGCCCAGGGCCCTGCAGGATGATGTCTGTCGTGGCCGTGCCAATGGTGGTCTTCCCTGCTGGCAGAGAGAACAGCTCAGCTTCCCTACCACCGGCAGCGTGCCCATGGGGACCTGCTGGCAGCCAGCACTCACCTTCCTCCAGGGGCAGGAGCGTGATGGCGGTGCTGAGCCGACCACTGCCCAAGCTCACCAGATGTGGCTTCTCCGTCTGCACCTTCAGTCCCTTGCCCGTGTCAATCAGGTCCAGAGGGCTGTTCTGCAGGAGGAGAGGGAGGGATGCTCACCACCCCTATGCCTGCAGCCTGCTCCCCTGCGCTGCCCACCTGGCCAGGTACAGGGAGCAATGCCCAGCACAGGGGTGTGCCTGCAGGACAGCCCAGCAGTGGGATGCAGGAGCTGAGGACTCCATCCCACCCATGCTGGCTGCCCCAGGGAGCAGACGTGAGCTGCTGTGGGAGTGGAAGATCTCCAAGGCTTGGGCTCTATCTAAGAGGATCCAAGATGCCAGCCGCTTAGCTCAATGGGCTTTGTTGCCGATCCCGTAATAGGATTGGGATGAGGAGAGGCCAGAAAACAGTGCCAGCCACCCGTGGTAGGGCTGGCTGGGGTGGAGAAGGGGTCCCGGTCCTGTGGCCCTGTGTGCTCACCTGGATGATGGTCTGGACTCTACGGGTTGGGCTGGCAGGGGTCCTGCTGGATGCCTCCATGGTGCCTGCTCGGAGACGCGGGGTGCTCTCGGACACAGGCTGCTGCCAGAAGAAACAGCACATCCAGGTGACCATGCTGGGCACTGCTCTCCCGTACTCCTGCTGCACATCTCTGCCTGAGCGGCAGCCTCACAAACCCCATCCGACCAGCATTTCCCACGAGGATTCCCCTCCTTAGCTTCCATTCCCAGCTGCCCAAAGCCACGAGCATCCCGCCTGGTGAGGCACGAGCCCCCATCCCCCCGCAAACCGATGTACTCCAAGCATCAGGACGGGACATGGCACCAGGAGGAGCCGGAATACCAGCTCGGTTTTGGGGAACTGGTGTAGGAAGCGCACACACTAAACAGCAAGAGCAGTGGGCAGCCAGACCCCAATTGCCACTGATGGATGAGGACTCAAGAGGACAGGATCCAGCTGCGCCCAGCAACATCTGCCTAATCCCTGACACCCGAGTGCCTATCCCAGGCGCACACCTCCCTTTGCTCCTGCACAGTCCAGCGCAGCAGCACCTCGGGGTGCACGAGCCGAGCTGAGTACACCGTGCCCCTGCCTGCACGCTGGCACCCGTGCCCACGGGAGGCACAGGCAGGAGGCAGCTCCGGGAGGAATCATTTCCGTCACCCGGTGCTCACGCCACAGTCGCAGCCCAGGCGATGCTTCGGGGTTACTAAATTTACCGTCTCCTGCTCCCCACGTCCCTCCCTTCCGCCCGGGGCCTGGCCGAGCGCGGCTTAACCCTTCCCGGGAAGGCCGGGGCAGCCGCACCGAACCGGGGAGCGCTCCCACTGCCCGAGGCACCCCGGTGCCGGGACAGCCGGGGACACAGGGGGGAGCGCTGGGCTCGGCTCCCTGCAGCGCCGCCCCCTGCACCGCCAGCCCCGCAGCCCGCGGGGCGAGGGTCCCCCCCCGGCTGGGCCAGAGCCGCGCTGGGCTGCGGGGGCGAGCGGGCGGCTCTTACACACTGCGGAAAAAATGAGGCGCTGGAAAACACCAGGCGTGGGATCCGGGCTGGGACAGAGCCCGCGCGGCTCCGTGCGACACCAGGGCCGCCCGCCCCACAGCCAGGGCTCCGTGGGGACCGCGGCCGCCCCACGCGGGGTGGGGACAGCTCGGCTGCAAGGGGATGTGGAGAGGCGGTACCCCAGGAAGACCTCCCCGCGGCCCACTGGCTGCAGGGACAGGACCCTGCTTTCCCTTACCTGCCACCTCGTCCTGGTGCTGAGCGAGACCCTCCGTGGTAGGGTGCCCATGTCCCCCGGGGGCAGGGGGGCCACGCTTCCCAGCATCCGGAGACCCCAGAGCCCCGCCGAGTCCCTGACCCTCGCTGGCACCCAAGCCGAGCCACAGTGTTCGGGAAGGAGGAAAAGCCAGGAGGGGCCAGGCGGCTGCATAGGAAGGGAGCGGGGCCAGGGTGGGATCCTGCACCGGCGTTAACCCCTTCCCAGCACGGCTGTGCTGGTGGAGCTGGGTGGGCATCTTGCGGGACGCCAGCCCCATGCTCAGGGGGTCACCCCCACTCCTGCTGCCCAAACTCGCTCCACCCAGCACCCCTCGCTCCACAGGCACACCGGGAAGCGACCCCTGGCATCCGGCTGCTCCCCGACGCCAACACTGACGGGCACCAGCCCCCCAGCATCACCCTCCACGGGAGCCCCTCACCTGGCTCCTCAGTGCGCCAGGGACGGCCGCCGTCCCCCTGCCCGTGCCTCGGGGGTGCAGCCCCTCTCCCGCCGGCTCTGCCGTCGGAATGCGGGGCGGGAGCGCGGCTGCCCCGGCCGGCGCCCCAGCGCTGGGGCGGACAAGGCGGCCTTTCTTCTCCCGCCGCCGCCTGCAGAACGCGCCGCTTGTTCCCGCCGTGGGAAGCGGCGAAGGCAGCAAATGCCAAGGGGTCGGGCTCGGTTACCGCCAGCCAGCCCCCGGCCGCCGTGGCCCCCGCTCAGCCCGGCCTCCCCGAGGACAAAAGCCCCTTTCTTCTCCGGGCGCAGGCAGAGGCCTCACCTGGGTGGACGCCCAGCCCCTGCCAACGCGGGGCCCCCGCCGGTGCCGGACGGGCGGCACTGTGCCCCCATCACCACCGCGCTCCCCTGCACCACCGCGCCCTGCCTGCCCCCACCGCACAGGGTCTGCCCCTGCCTGACGTGCGGCTGCCCACCGGGACTCAACCTGCCCACAGCAGTCGGTGGGCAGACCACGGCGCCGCCCCCTGTGCTACCGGCTGGGGTGCAGCCAGGGCACGACCAGTCCCCGGTCACACAAGGGCCATGCCGGTGCAGCGGAGCACAGCCTGGCACACCCTGCCATGCATCCCTCGCGGTGCCAGCCATGCAGGGGTAGGCACACGGCATCCCGGGACGCAGCCTCTCCTCCCCACTCATGGCTGGGTGAGTCACAGGAGGAAGCCAGAAAGGCCGAGCTAACGGGCGCGCACCGCAGAGCATTGCAGCCTCCATCCAACTTGGCTGCCTGCTTGCTCCCCATCTGCTAACGCGCTTAGGGCGCGCTTACCCCTTCCCACACCCTCCACTCCAGTAAACAACCGGTCATTCCGCCGGCAGCTGGGAATGGGGAGCCCATCTCCAGCACAAAGCTGGAGCGGAGCGAGGAGCCTGCTCCTTCAGACTTGGGGCTGCCCCACATCGAGCAGGGAACACCGAGCCGGCGCCATCCCACCCAGGCGAGGGACTGCAGAGGGGGCTGCATCGCGGTTGCTGTGACAACGCAACGCCCCTGGCAATAACATCACCGTAAATCAGCTGCCAGACGGCTCCGGAGGGAGCGGAGGAATCCCGGCCGCACCCGCTGATCTCAGCGCTCCCGGGAAGTGCTCCCGCTCCTCCGCAGCGCAGCTGCACTCGGCTGAGCCCGCGGCTCTGCCGGCATCGTGCCTCTGGCTCTCTGCGTGCTGGGGGATGCCCGAGTGTGCTTGGGTCAGGCAGGGCGTGCAGCCCAGCTTCCTGCTCCCGATGCTCCCCACAACGAACCAGCTCCGTACACGGTCCTGACCACGCTCAGAGCTCAAGCACCAAGCCCAACATCAGCACGTGGCTCTGCCCACCACAGCATGGACAGGGAAACCACAGCACCGAGTTCTGCAACTGGTCCCTGGCACAATCTTGTTACCCAGCCCTAGATTCAGTGGGAGAGGAGCACGGGTGAACCTCACCTCTCCAAAACGGGCACCGCTCCGCTCCTTGCTGGTGTCTTGCCAGCAAGCACCGCCTGGTCACGCAAACCCGCATCTCCATCACCCTGCCCACTGCCGCCCCGCACACACAACGCTGGCACCGCGCGGCAAACCCAAACGTACAAGTTGCTGCCGAAGCAGCCCCGCGGCTGCCCGTGCCCGGGGAGGGATGGGTGCCGCGGGAGGAGGGCCAGAGCGCAGCGCCCTGTGCACAGCAGCTGAGCTCCTCCTGGGGCTGCCAAATTCCTCGGGCCTCCTGGCAGCGGCGCAGGACCCGCGGGGAGAGCGCGTCAGGAAGCCGGAGTAAACAAGGTCCCGCTGCAGAGCGGGGTCCGGCCAGGCCAGCGCCTTTCCCAGGCTCCCCGAGAGGAGCCGGGGACAAGCGGGGGCAGGCTCCGGCCAAGCGCCCATCCCTGCCTGCGGCCACCCACGATCCCGGTGGGATTCGGGGTCGGGAGCGCCTGGTCCAGCCTCCCACGTGGGGCTGGATGCTCTCAGGGCCCCCACACCGACAAAACCCAACGTGATGTGGACCCCCAGAACCCAGGTTCCAGCCCACCCGTGTGCCCCCAAAACGTGCCACAGCGCCTGAAGGCTTCTCCTGGTCTCCCGCCTGCAGCTCCTTCCGCGCACACGTTCCTGGGAGCCCCCGGGCGGGCAGTGGCACCCCCACACATCCCATGTCCCAGCGCAGACGCAGACAGAGCCCCCTGCCCTCACCGTACCCCAACGCGTTGCCCTTGGGGGGGTCCCGGCAGACCTGGACCCCACTCGCTTCCTGGGGGAAGCGGTTCCCGGTGCACGAGTGGGGTCCCCCCGCCACAAGCCGTCCCCGGTGCCCCGAGCCCGGCCCGTTCTTCGCTACCGCTCACCTCAGCTCAGCTCAGCTCCTCCGGTCCCGCCGCCGCTGTCGGTCGCCTCCGGGTCCGCCCCGGCCCGCGCGGGCCCGCCCCCCGCAGGGCTGAGCCCGAAGGACCGCCGCAAGCAGAGCCAGCTCCTCCGACAGAACTCTTTATTGGGTTAAAGACTCGTATTTGTGTACACTGGAATGTGCTCTAGTCCCTAGGCCAGTAGAGGGTTACAAAAGGGGATCCCGGCTCGGCTTCACTGTGACCCTCCAAACAATTCCAGGGGAAAAAAAAAGAAGAAAAAGCTCCGAACTACCCTCGACTCCATTTTAACATCATACGGAAAAGCAGCTCTCCACCAGGACCGAGCTAATGGGATTTGCCACCTACTTTGCTTTCCTAGGAACAGCGTTTGCTGTCCCACCCTCCCAGGGCCGGGATGAGGGATGGTTCCCTCGCGGGTGCTGCCAACAGAGGAGAGACCACGAACTTCTTCGGCAGAGGGCCCCAGGGAACAGAGACGCGCTCGCAGAGGTGCTCCCAGGAATGCGGTGTGTGAGCCTTCAGAGTGCTCCCTTTCTGTGACCACGTGGGCAACCCAGCATCCACAGCTCCATGCACCGAGGCCTTCCCCTGGCACCGAAAGAGCCGCAGGAAGGACATGCAGCTGGTTCTAACCTACACCACCTCCAAAGCCTGGCCCAAGAGGAGCTGCAGCGGACAGTGAGCCTGTGCACAGAGACAGTCCCTCTGGATGCTCTCCATCAGCAGCAGGAACATGCCAAAGTGTGGCCTGTGCCACTATGGAGCCCTCTCTGAGCCAGAGGCGAGCCCAGCTGCAAGGGCAGCAGCAACTGTGCGGGGCAGAAGGACCGAGCACCGTGACCTTCTCCTCTGCCAGACCCCCTCACTCAGAACTGCAGCCAAATTGCTCTGCTGGCACCAGACGGGGGGTCTGGAAGAGCCAGGCACCCCACGCACGTCATCTTAACGCCAGCTTTCACCAACAGAAACAGGAGTTGAAGGTCGAGGAGAAATTAAAATGGCAGCAGCACCAAGAAGGGATCGGCACGTGATGCTTCAGCCGGGAGAGGACGATGGCTGGTGGGCGCTGGGACTGGGCGCCAGGCGGCTCCAGGGGGGACGGGTCAAAGGCAGGCTCCCTGTGGTGGAGGTGGCGCTTTCCTGCCGGCCGGTGAAAATCTGCCAAAGAAATTTGTAGCCTTTCCCCCCGTGAGCACATCAATTCTCTGCCAAAAGTGTCTGTGCCCTGGGAGCGCTGCAGGCAGCAGAGCCACGCGTCTTCCTCCGCGGGGGGGCTGCGGCATTCCCACATTCCCAACATTCACAATCAACTTCGGCCTCTTTTTTTTTTTTCTTTTTCTTTTTTTCTTAAATTTAAAAAACCTGCCTCCGCTGCGGGCCCCGCGGGTGCGTTACAGCACCTCGTACTTGTCCACCAGGAAGGTGGTCTCAGTAGAAAACCTGACGGGGCTGTTCCCGTCTACCAGGGTCACTTTGGTAACCTGCAGGACAAGAGGCAGAGTTAGCTCAGCGCCGACACCGGGATGCTCTCGAGGACAGTGGCAACCCCCCGCTTTCAAACTGCCAGGAAGAGCTTTCTTCTCAGGAAAGCTGGAAATGGGGAAGGTTTCCCTGCAGTAGCTGTGCCTCTAATAAGAGTTAGCAGCAGTCACCAGGTGCAGCTCAGGAAGGACAGACAGAAGCCATACAGCAGCATAGCATCACAGACCAGTCTGGGCTGGAAGGGAGCTTAAAGTCATCTAGTTCCAACCCCGTAACACAGGTAGGGACACCCTCCAGCAGACCAAGTTGCTCAAAGCCCCATCCAACTTGGCCTTGAACAGTGCCAGGGATGGGGCAAGAGACAGAGACACGTTTTGGCTCAAAGGCTGACAGTTTCTCTATCAAAGTCTGAGGGGAATTAGTGGTTACCAGAGTCACAAAGGCACAGACCAAATGGCCCATCAGGTCTGGGGAGCTGAAGCTGCCAGTGTTCTCCACTGGCACCCCAAATCAGCCAACACAGAGGAAACTTCATGCCAACACCTGAGCCTTCACCAGGAGCAGCAGCAGGGCACAAGAGGCCACCACACAGCCACTTACAGCCATGACCAAGGCAGCTTGGAGGAGCAAAGAGTGGCAACATCACACCCACGGAGTACCAGCAGCGACCATACCTGTATGTTGCAATAGTTCTTTTTGGAGATGAAGGAGACTTGCACTGGGAAGAAGTCATTTGGCTGCCCTGCTATGCTGAACTCCAGGCTGCCGCTCTTGTTTTTGGCATCTATCACTGGCAGGCACCACTCGAGGAGGTTTCTCCGGCTGTCGTGGCGATACTCACCGTCAATCTCCCCAATCACTGGAGCACCGACACCAGACCTAGAACAGGCCACAAGAAGTTACAAAAGCTCAGCTGCACACAGCTAAGGAAGTGCTGGTCCAGCCTGTTTGCTTGTCCAGACCCACAAACCAGGGAGGGGAGAGAAGCAACGGGATCCAGGCAGACAGGATAATGCTGCCTGGACAAGAAAAGTTACTTACGGCAAGGGGATGGTGATGATCACATCGTTCAGCTCCAGGCTCTCCTCTTGCAACTCGTATTCAATGTTAACATCACAACTGCTGCCGCTTTCTGATGGCCAGCAGTTAACTGAGGGCACAGAAACAGTGAGTGAACCACATGGGCTCCCAAAAGGCACCGCAAAGTCATCCCCAAGAAATCCTGACAAATAAAAGCCTTATCTTTTCTTTAAGAGCATCACAGAAAACACATACCACCAAGAACAGGCACTATCCAGGGGAACACATCTCCAACATCTCATCTCAGAGTGTGGTGGCACACTCCAGGCAGCCCAGCTGCTGGAGGCTGACTACAAGCTGGCAGCCCATGGATCACAGAATCCCAGACTGGTTTGCCTTGGAAGGGATCTTAAAGCACATCTAGTTCCAGCCCCCTGCCATGGGCAGGGACAGCTTCCACTAGAGCAGGTTGCTCCAAGCCCTGACCAACCTGGCCTTGAACACTGCCAGAGATGGGGCAGCCACAGCTCCTCTGAGCAATCTGTGCCAGCGCCTCAGCACTCTCACAGCAGAGAACTTCCTAATACCAAATCTGAATCTTCTCTGACAGTTTAAAGCCATTCCCCCTTGTCCTGTCCCTACAGGCCCTTGTCCAAAGCCCCTCTTCAGCTTTCCTGTCAGCCCCTTTTAGGCACTGGAAGCTGTTCTAAGGTCTCTCTGCAATATAAAGCACATCAGGCTCTTCCACCCTATCCCCCAGGTGCACACTTGCACTCACTTGTCAATGGAATGAAGGACTCCTCTGTGGTCTGCAACCTCCACTTCAGCACCCCCACGTCACTGTTAATAGGGAATGACTTCTCTGGGTTCTTCAAACCAATCTGCGATTCTGTAGTGAAGAGCTTCTTGTCCACATTTGGGTGAGTCTGAAAGGGGAACATAAGCCCAGGCTCCAACTCTGAGCCTAAAGACAGAACTGTCGGTAGGCAACGCGGGCTCTAGTAAGGCAGGATGACACATCCCAGGGTGTTTTACTTGACACACATCAGTTTTGCTCCTGGTTCAGAAGCCCAGCTGGAGCACATCTGCTTATCACCCTGGGATTCCTTCCAGAACACACACCACTGCACCAGACATGCTAGCAATGCGCGTCCTGGGCCGACACCTAGAGAGCAGCTTTAACAACTCTTAAAACCTCAAATGCCATCCTGAAGATCCACAACAGAAGAAAAACCAACCTAATGGTGCGTGGAACACCCTGAAACCGCAAAAATCCTACTTCCCTCCACAACCTTAACACATTACATCAGCAGCCAAACTCAATTTAAATGTTCTCTCTCCATAAGCAGCTTTGCAGAAGCAGAGGATTTTTGCAAGTCAACCTTCAAGTTATGCTAGAAACACAGTCTTGCGTTTGATCTTGTCTTCCACCTGAAGCACCATGTGTGGGAGCGTTGTTAGGAACTCCCTCATGAGATGTGCCAGTAAGGAACCTCCTAGTTTATAAGCCAGCAGCAGATAAGCCAGCCACATACAGGCAAGCTCATAGCAAGGAGGAGGAGGGAGGGAGGGTGCGAAAGAGTGCATCAAAGGAGCATGATCTCCAAGCATCTGTAAGGCCACACAGAGTGGGAGAAAGGGAATGCGTCCTTCAGAATCTTCCGAGCTGCTATCACTGGCTGCAGCTGTGGACTCCAGCAACTGCCTCCGATGCAGCAGTGATGGCACACAAGTGACCCCAAGAGGTAACAAATTCACTCCTCAGCAGCACAGGACTTCACACTAAATTCTCCCACTCCACAGCTAAAGCTCACATCACACCAAGGAGCACCAAGCAACGCACCAGACTGCTGCAAGGTCCAAGTGCAACCAGACAGCACAGCAACGTGCACCACCGGGCAGATAAGGCGCCGAGGGCAGGGAGATAAGGGCATGAGACTGGATTTCTCAACTGAACTTCAATCTTTCCAGCGTGAGCTGGCCCCACTGCGCTAACGTCTGCAGTGACTACTCCCATTTTTAACTCATGTATTGAGATGGCTTGAACATGAATGAACACAGGACACTGACATGCTCACGTATTCCCTGGAGAGGAGCAAAAGCACATTCGAGAGCACAGGACACGGAAAAGGCTTTACCTGTAGCTGCACTCCCCTCTTGTCCTCATTTTCCACATGCAGGCGAATCCGAGCAAACTTCTCATCGGCAATGTGCAGCATGATCATGCCGTGCAGCTCCATGCTCTGCAACCCTCCGTCGCGGCCGCAAGTCAGGGAGATTTTCTCCTCTATTTTCATGTGCACACTAGACAGACAGACAGACAGAAAGTAGGTGTCGCAAGTGCTGCGCTTGGCAGCCAAGAGGCCAGGTGAGAGAGCAGTGCTCAGCAGGGAAGGCTGCACATGAGCCGGAGCTCCCAGGAGCAGGATGGCCCCAACGGAGCAGCACGGAGGGCACAGCAGATGCTAACGCTGCTTCCACAGGTCATCTCCAGAGATGCGAGTCTGCCATGGGTGGAAGCCCACATGAAGAGCAGTGATGCAGCATCTCAAGGAGCTGTTCACCCAAAAATCCTCTGCTGACACGAGCAAAGCTCATGGCACTAGAGGCTTCTGAACTGCTATATATAAAATTATCTATGAACGTGGCCACCCCAAGCCACAATTTGGCAGAAATTCTGCGTCGGAAGAACAGAAAAATTTCAGCTATTTAAGCGAAAAAGGCATGGGAAAACTCCCAACCTCAGCTGAACAATGGATGTACACCCGAGTTCAGGTGAGTCCTACTGAAAGGAGCTGTCTGCTTTTTCCTGCTGTGCTTCCCAAGGTTTTGCCCACCACCATTTAAAATGAGAGCACGAGAGAGCACATGGGACCTGAAGGGCAGGAAAAAGCCTGTTCTGAAAATGAGAAAGGAAGCGAGTTCAGGAAACCACATGTGCACCACGCAGCACGCAGCAGGAACAATGCTTCCAAAGCCAGGGCAGTACCTACCTCTCCATGTTAACAGGAGGAGCAAGAACTTTGGCTGCTTCTGTGGAGCGCTTCCCTACAGCAGTCAGGATATTTTCTCCCTCCGATTTCAGCTTGTCTACGAAGTTGTCCACCTCCTTCCCCTTAGCGCCAAGTTTCAAGGCTTTACTGGGACCCGAGGGCCTACAGAAAAGGTATAAGAATCTCCAGGTCAGCTCATGGCAACAGATTCCTCCTTACCTGCAAGTGCTGTAACCCGACTATCCCAACAAAACCACCTTCACCTCTGCAGCCTTTTTTCTGGGAGAGCACGCTCAAAACTGATACGTAGGCTGCAAAGTTGTAATTTGGTTTGGATTCTGTTCTGTGTATTAACAGTAGCTGGGACCTCTTTTTCTTACACAGGTTATAGAGCCCTTTGCTTATCAAAGGCTCCAGAAACGCTCTGGTATGCTAGTGTGGGACGCACCACAAATGCTCCTCAACAATAAAAGGGCCTTTACTGGGGCACATGCTTCCAGCTCCGCTGACCCCGAGGCCCACTTGCTCCCTGCCGCACACCCACCTGGCAGGCGCTGGAGCCACTTTGGGCTTCTCCGTCTCAATGATGGTCTCCGTGATCATGGTCGCCGTCGTGCCCCCGGACACGGCCACGCTCCCAAAGCCGCCGAACCCAGGCGCCTTCTTGCCCTGCCTCTCTGCGTCCCTCCGGGCTTGCTGCAGCTCCTTGGCTTTACGGCGCATCTCAGCTTTTGCTTCGCGCTCCTGAGTCTGAAGTAAAAGACAAGAGGCTGACAGAGCTTTGCAATCTCAATCTCATTCTGCTCAGGAACCGAGTGCATTTGCATGTAAACCCTCTGTGAAGCAAAAGGGGACAAGAGATTAGCACTTGGTGTACAGAAAAGTGAAATCACTTCTGGGCCACTATCAAAGCTGAGCAGCAGTAGCATCTCCCAGAGCACGTAAGTGGGACCCAGCTTGCGGTTACTCCTGCTCACCTCTCGGACTGCTCGGAACACCTTCTCCTCGTGTGACTCCATCTCAGTGAAGGTCCGAATTTGGGCCAGATTGACGTTCTCACGGTAGCCCAGGGCAACAATCTCATCAAAGGCAAAAATCAGGTCAAAGCAGTGCTCAGAGATCTCGTTCTCCTCCAGAGCTCGACAATATTCAGGGATCTGGAGAGAAAAAAAAACATTTTGAAGGGGTATCTGTAGACAACACCATGTAAACACTTTCTTTCTACTACCCCCTGACTTCAAAGCAGTGCTAGCCCCTCCACAAGACCACTGCACTGTTAAGCTGCTCTTATACGCTGCGGATAAACAAGATCAAGTTTTGCCACGATTAGTTTTCCTACACTACAATACCTTGGACAGCCCCTTAGCTTCTCTGGAACACTAAGTCAGAGGAACCTAAACACACGCTGGGGCCAGCGAATTTCCTGAGGAGCCCTGAATAGAGAGAATATTTAATGCTAACTTTAGCAATCACCCCTTTGGTCTCCCCAGCGGAGCTGACAGCAGGAACTCTGCAGTAAGCGAGCGATCCTTAGATCCTTACCACTCTGGAAAAGAGTCGGAGTGTTTCCAGATCTTCCAGGATGTTGCTGTTCTTGGTGGTGATGAGCACCATGTAGAGCTTCTCCATGGGCTGATAGACGTACCGCACGCTCTCCGTCTCCACAAACGTGTGCTGCTTCCCCGTGTTCATGAGCTTGGGGAACGCCGCCAGCAGCCCCTCGATGCGGGTGCGCGTCATCTCCACGAACTGCCGGGACACGATGGCCTTTCCTGCCTTCGTGCACACGGCTGCTGCCAAGAGCACCTGCGGAGGAGGTGAGGGGAGCATCGACTCCATCCCAGCTTCACAAGTGCCGCACCCCAGCTCAGCCTCCTTGGCCACCGCTTTCAGCCTTTTGCTGCCACCAGCACCAGTAACTGCGCTATGCTGAAAGCAGACTCACCTCTCCTTTGCTCTGTTACCCTGAGCACAGCAAACTGGCCCCTTCCTACACACACGGAGGTGACACAACCCACCCAGTGCCCTGGGGAGGCTCCAGGCTACTGAGCTTCTGGTCAGTCTGGCCCCAGCTTACAACTAACCACAGACACGTTGTAAAGCGGGACAGTTCTTCGAGGGCCACATCCACGGCAGAGCCACGTAAATGGAGAAGTGGCAGCTGTGTTAACCACAGCCCCCGGATGGCTCTCCTGGGCTCCTCTAGGTATTATCGCACCCCCAATACAAAGGCAGCAAAGCGACTGCAGCAGACGTCTTCTCGTTCTCTTGGACTACCGAGACTTCCTCCTCACATCTCTCTCTCATAGATCAGCTCTTAACTTTGCCAGGATAAGGCTGATGATCTCGTAAATCCCCAACCGCTGTTATTAACGGGCAAGTGCTGGGAACTCTCAGAAACAGACCATGTCCCACCTCAGCCCCAGGCCGACAGCAGCGCGTGAGGCCTCGGGGACTTGCAGCTTGACAGCTCGGGGACAAGCGCATCCTGAAGTGCTTTTATGTCAGGCCGAAACCTCCTCTCTGCACGCACTGCCCCAAAGCACAGGTCACGGCGCAAGGCAAGCGGCACCGGGGGGCTCTCTGCTCCGGGAGCACACGGCTCTGCGCCCTAACGGCGCGGCCTCCCCGCCCCGCCGCCCGAACGCGCGGTGGAACACCGCTGGGGGGTACAAGGAGCAGGACCGGCTCCGTCCCGCAGCGGAACGGTTCCCGTGCTCAGCCCGCACCGGCACCAGGGCAGCGGCCGCAGCCCCGCCTGCCCGGGCGGCAGGACCTGCCGCAGCGCCCGGCTCTGCCCCGCAGGCCACGGGGCCCCGGCGCCAGGCCCGGGCGGGCGGCGGGCGCTGGGGGGCCCCCGACAAGCGTCCCCCCCCCGGCCGCTGTGCCCCGCGATGGGCGGCGGAGCGAGACCTTACCATGGCGGCGGCGGCGGCGCGGGGCTCGGCGCTCCGTCCCTCCGCGTCCCTCCGCGTCCCTCGGGCAGCCGCACAAGATGGCGGCGCCGAGCCACGTCCGCAGCCGGAAGCGCCGTCACGCACGGCGCGGCTGGCGGAGCGCGGCCGCTCCTCCCGGCAGGGAGCGCCAAGGAGGCCCGGCCAGCGGCGGCGGCGGCGGGGGCGTCGCCCTGGCAACGGCGGCGGGGCGGCATGGCGGAGGTGAGCGGGGCTGGGCGCCGGGGGCACCGCGGCTGGGGGCCGGGCCGCCGCCTCAGCGCGCCGCTCTGCCTAGGCCCGCCTGCCCGAGGAGCAGCCGTACTACGAGCGTCTGGACCTGCCGGAGGCCGAGCAGGCGGGCGGCGCTGCGGGGAGGTCGGCAGGGGCCCGATCGCCGCGGGCAGGGGGTAAGGGCCGGCCCCAGGCCTCCCGTTGGCCTGGGCATCCCGCGGCCGATCGGAGCAGCGAGGAGGAGGGCAGTGGAGACAAGGTAGGCAGCGGCGGGAGGGCGGCCCGGCGGCGGGAGGGCGGCCCGGTGAGGCCCGGTGTCTCCCCTAGAAGGAGGAGGTGGCGCGGTCGGCCGCGGCCGCCACCCTCAGCGAGGACTCGGACTCGGAGGACTCGGAGGACTCCTCGGAGACTGACTCGGAGAACGACTCGGATGAGCACGGGGCTGCGCTCACGGGGTGAGCACTTACCTGGCGTTTGACACCCCTACACGAGCCTGTCTTCACAGGCAACTCAGCCAAGTGCCCGCCTAAGGCAAAGCAGGGCCCAGTGGTGGTTCTCCTGCGCAAGAGGGGACTCCCTGCCTGGGTCTTTCCGCTTCCTTCGTGCTGGTCTTGCACAGCTGCATGCTGGTTCCCACTTGTAGACAGCCTACTGCATGTTAATCTTCGCCTGCATTTCTCTGCCTTCCTGCAGGGACTTTAGTATAGCAGATTATGACTACCTGCCGGTGTCTTCTGAAATCAAAGAACTCTTTGAGTACGTCAAGAGGTGAGTGGAAGGGGTTTTAGCCCACTCCTTGCTCTCCTGTGTCTCAGTTACTGGGGCAAGTGTTGCAGGACAGTCCGTAGCTGCTCCCACAGTGCTGCTGTTTTTTCCCAGGTACACTCCCAAACCAATAGAGATCGAGTACAAACTGCAGCCTTTCATCCCAGACTTTATTCCTGCAGTTGGAGACATTGACGCATTCCTAAAGGTACAGTTGCTTTGCTCCCCTCTGTATGTGGTGTGCCTGAGCTGAAATGGGATGTGGTATTGGCTGAAGCCTGGCCCTACAGCCCGGTGAGCCCTGCCCCTGAGCTGTCAGTCACTTCTCAGGCATAATTTGGGGCCAGGGCCACATTTGCCTTGTCCAACTCCTTGTGCTTTTCAGGCAGCACTGTACTAACAACTCGTATTCAAGAGAGCAGGCCTGCCAATGCCTTTTAGGGCCTGGTTTTTAAGCCATAGGGAGGCTCCCTCCAAAACAGCCCGATGTCCGCTGCCCTAGACTCCCGCAGGAAACGGGGCCTCTGTTTGTCTGCAGGTTCCCCGTCCCGACGGCAATCCTGATAACCTGGGCCTGCTGGTGCTGGATGAGCCATCGACCAAGCAGTCGGATCCCACCGTGCTCTCCCTTTGGCTGACGGAGAACTCCAAGCAGCACAACATCACAGTGAGACAGGGAGGGGGAGGCTGCACTTGCTGCACGCTGCCCGTGGTGAAAACGTTGCATTTTGCTTTACTTCTGTGACTACAGCGTTGCAGCACAGCTGCTAATTCGCCTCCAAAGGCAGAAAACACTAACGTTTTTCTTTAGGCCGTAGTTTTAAACTGCAATGGATCTATGGCAAGGCTTGGTGCAGGCTTTGGTTCAGTTCCCTTCGGGGGAAGCTTTCTTTCCTTTTGCTTGTCAATATGTGGTTTTCCTCAGTGTTCTGTTTGCCCGTGGCTCTCCGCAGTTGGTGCAGTGCCACTAGGAAAGAGAAAATGCAGGGTTAATGTGGAGCCAGCGCAGGGGTTGCAGAGAAGCCCCAAGCGCCCTGAAATGATTCCAGGTTCGTATTTTTATTCTTAGCAGCAGATAAAAGTGAAGAGTGTGGAGAATGCAGAGAAGAACCCCAAAGCCATTGAGAGCTGGATTGAGAGCATCAACGAACTGCACCGCTGCAAACCTCCTGCCACAGTCCACTACACCCGGTGAGCTCCCCTCCACGTGTGCAGCCCCAGCTCAGGCCACGGGGAGGCTGGTGACACAGTCCAGGAGGGCTGAGCACTGCTGTGCTCAAAGGGAGCCGGTCCCCTCTGCAGCAGCCCGGCAGCAGGAAACCGTTTCACTTGTGTGTGATCCTGAAGTTTATGTCCTGTTCTTCCCTGGCAGGCCAATGCCTGACATAGAGACCCTGATGCAGGAATGGTCACCAGAATTCGAGGAGCTCTTGGGAAAGGTATGTTGGGAGTTAGTTTGGTGCTGGTGTTATAACCACCTTCCATGAAAGCCAGGGCCTCCAAAGAGCTCAGGTCCGGGCTCTTTGCCCATGACCCGGCCCACTCGGGTTTGTTCCTGCTTCCCATTTCGCCCTCGCCAGATGGGGGAGCAGCCTGATGCCTGAATTCCTCGTGGCCACTGTGCTTGGCCCCAGAGCCGCGCTTGCCATACGGCGGCAGAGCTGGCTGCTCTGTCTCTTCCAGGTGGGGCTCCCAACGGCGGAGATGAGCTGTGACCTGGCCGAGTACGTCGACATGATCTGTGGTAAGGCAGGGGCTGTGCTGAGGGCACAAGTGTGCTGCTGCTCTGGCACTGTCTCGCTTCAAGCAAGGGACTCTTAGAAGCAGGCTCAGCCCTGAGAAGTCAAGATCATTCTCTGCTGTCTGCAGTAGGATGTGGACTCATACCACAGGCGCCTGCAGTCTTTAGTGAGGGAAGTCCCCAGTAATAGTGGGCAGGGGGAAGTTCAGTCTTTACCTGCAGCCCTCAGATGCTCTCACATGCTTCTGCTCTTGCTTGTAGCCATTCTGGACATCCCTGTGTACAAGAGCCGAATCCAGCCTCTGCATATCCTCTTCTCTGTCTACTCCGAGTTCAAGAACTCGCAGGTACAGCTTCAGGCAGGCACTGCTCACCCAGCTGAAGCATCACGAGGCTTCTCTCCTCATGTTTGTCTTTGCTGTGGGTGTCTGTGAGGGGGTGGCAGGCCAGACAAGGGGGCCCAAAGAACATTTTCTAAGCTGCTTGATCTGCTGGTACCTCAACATTGCACAAGGAGCCCCTGAGATTCTGCGAGGTTTAACAGTCCAGCATGAGCCCACAATGCTTTTCCCACCAAAAGCAGGAGCGGCCGAGCCCACAGGTCATGCAGAGGGGCAGCGTCTTCACACACACATGCCTGTACTGTGGAACGAGCACCAAATCTTTGCACTAACACGTTTTGTCCTCTGCAGCATTTCAAGCCCTTGGCTGATGGGAAGAAGGGCAGGAGCCCACCATCCAACCCTCCTTCACAAGCGGCAGAGGCGGAGGTGTTAAGCTTTACTTGAAGCTTCATGTTGAACCCTCACCTCTGGATCAATCTCTGCTGCTATCAGCAGCCTGTGAAGCAGAGCAGAACACATCAGGAGCCTCCCTGACTTTAGGACACAGCCTGAAGTGTTCTGTATTCAGAGTAGGACTTTACTCATCGCATTGTTGCAGAAGCTGCCTAATGGCTCCAGTTTTGACTTGTTCCCAAGAAGTTCAGCATTAAACCAGCTCTTCCCAGTGACAGGCTCCCTGAGCTGTAGGTGCTGCAGAGCTGAGGCTCCTTGAGCGCACACAACAAGTGCTAGAGCAAGCGGGAGTAAGTTTCACCCTCAGACATGACTCTTGGATCTTCTCAGTGCATTCCACAGCCTGACTGGGGGTGTCAAACTTCTGCTTCCTCTTACTGAGCCCCTTTTCCTATTCTCAGCCCCATAGCTGCTGCCAAGGAGAAATAACTGGCGTGGCACCACAGAGACACTCAAGTTTAGTTTATTGCTGTGGGGAGGACTCACTCCAGCCCCTGCCGTGCTGCCTGTGCCGACCCATCTGCCACAGCTCTGGCAGGGATGGCAAGAATCATGCAGCAAGCGGGCCATGAACCTGCTAAAGCAAGGCTGGTGCTTGGCCTTACCCCAGCAGGAATCTTGGTGCTGGCAGCAAGGCTGAGCCTGGCTATAAACAGCTTTGATGCATCTGTTCCTAAAGCGCAGAGGCTACATAAAACCATGCCTTGGCTCACAGTGCAGCTACCGGGACCTGCGGCGCGTAGCTGAAGGTACAGCCAGGGCTAGTCAGTGCCCTGCACAGCCCCTGGCACCCACAGTTCTCCAGGAGCTGGCACATACCTGGGGCCGGGCAGCCCTGCCTCAAGGCACCACGCCACATCTCACAGCCAGATCTCCTCACTGCTCACACTGGGCACTTTGTAGATGCGCCCAGACTTTGGGAGCTGGATAAAACCTGCGGGACAAAGACAGCTTGTTGCCATTGCCCTTCGGGGCAGCTGCAGAGGCCAGCATTTCACCAGCACAGCTTTGGGGGCCTCTCGCCCACCTGCACCCCCTCACCGAGCTTGCTGAGGACCAGGGAGTTCTCCAGCCCCGGCCATGTGCTCTCCTCTCCCCCAGAACCAGCTCCTGCATCCCTGGGGGAAGCTGCAGGAAAAGAAAGGGGCAAGAGCCATACATGGGGCCCTCACCCACGTAGGACCCATGGCCCTGTGTGTCCCTCCGCACTGGCACCCGGGCTCTCACCTCTGGCCTCCTGCGTGAGGTCGCTGAGGTGCAGGTCAGGTGGCAGTGACCGGGTCTGGCGGGGCAGACGTGCACCCTCGGGCTGTGGGAGCTCAGGGCCGCTGCAACGGGAGCACCGGCTGAGTGGGCTGCGCCCTCCCACTTGCCCCTCGCCAGGCACGGGCTTGGGCCGTTGGCACGCCAGGCTGGCGGCACAGGAGCCCAGGCTGAGCAGGGCAGACAGGGCCAGGGCTGCTCCGACGGCGACACCCAGGAGGGGCAGCTCCACATGGGCATCCAGCAGACCTGCACGGGCAGCATGGCCCCTCAGCACCCTTTGGCACAGCCATGGTGCTGTACCTACCCCCCAACACCTACCTGGCGGCAGGAGGGAGGTGGTGGTGATACCCAGGCTGTTGGCAGCGCTGACAGACAAGTTGCCAGCTGCACTGTCGAGGTGGATGCGGAGCGAGTGGTTGGCCAGCCCCGGGTAGTTTGTGGTGTCCAGGAGGTGGAACTCTGAGGTGTTGGCCATCACCTGCCCATCCTGGTCCACCCAAGTGATGCTGGCGGGTGGGTTGGCTTCCACCATCACAAAGAGCACCAGGAGGAGGCCCTTGCCATCAGCCTCTTGGTAGTGGGCATCTGCCTGCAGGATCTCTGGCTTATCTGGGCAACAAACAGGCAGTGAGACAGGCAGCAGAGACAGGGCCACACAGGCAGGAGCAGCATTTGTCTCACCAGAGGCTGGAAGCGCTCATCAGCTGTGTCTGCACAGGACCGATGAGATCCTGCCCTGCTCTGGCCAGGCAGCAGCCCCATGCACCCTCCCCGTGCCTCCATCTGGAGCAGGGCCGGCACCGCAGACCTTACACTGCACGTCGAGGAGGACGGAGGAGTTGTAGGTCTGCCCAGAGGCTGGGTCCGTCAGGGAGCAGTTGAGCTGGCGGTCGCTGCGCCGGGCGGTGAGAGTGAGGGTGCTGGCGGCGCCCACGGCCGAGCAGTTTGCCTCCTGCTTTTGGCCATCGAGGTACCAGGCCAGCATGGCGCCCGGGGCCGGCCGGGGAGCCCGGCAGGAGAAGACACGGCTCTCCCCCTCCCGCAGCGTGCACACTGCCAGCCGCTGCCCATCGATGGTGGGACCCGGCTCCCCCAGCCCTGCCGGAGAGCCCGTGGCGTGTCAGAGCTGCAGCGGCATCCCGCTGTAGTGCTGCCGGAGCACTGGACCCGCCCCCTGCAGCCTCACCTGCCGAGCAGCACGCCAGGAGGCCCAGCAGCAGCAGCACTCGGGCAAGAGCAGCCTCCGGCCGGCCCTGGGAATGCCACATGGTGCGGCGGCTGTGCCGAGCGCCAGGAGACACGCAGCTGGAGCAGGGGTGCGGCGCTGTCCCCACGCTGGGCCCCAGGCATCCCAGCACGCAGCAGGGCTGGACAGCAGAGCCGCACTGCACCTTACCTGGAGCATGGCCGCAGTGCGGCTCCGGGCCCCGGCACGCGGGGCTGCGCTTGAGGCGCAGGGGCGGTCCCCGGCACGGCTGGGAGCATCCTCCGCCCGCCCCGCCGCCGCCATCCCCGGGCAGAGCCCTGGTGCACACGAGCGTGGGCAGAGACCACCCAGCCAGGGCTGGGGATGAACAGAGGGGGGCCAGCACCCTGCTGAGCCCGGCCGCGTGCCCACAGCGCTGCCTGTTCTCTGTATGTGCCGCCCTGCACACACCAGAACCGCACCGCAATCACCTGCAACGCCACAAGCGGAGCCCGAGCGCCAGGGATGCAGGCAGGTTTATTGGGGGTAGAGCGGAGCTGAGACAAAGCAAGGCATTTCGGTACCTCCCATCCCAGCTGTCAGCCAGGGATGGAGGAGGAGCAACAACAAGAGGATCTCTGGCACCAGAGAGGGACCTTCTTTGGTGGCCAGGACGTGTCCAGCGCGCACGCTGCTGTTCCCGTCTCACTCACTCGCGGTGCTGCTGGGGTTGCGGAGCCGCCCCAGCATCTCACGGAGCATCTGGTTGCAAAGCGCTGAGTAGGGGTTGAGCAGCACCAGCTGCCGCCGGGCAAAGGCGCTGCCCAGCCGTGCCGCGCGCTCGAAGTCCTGCCGCGCGTCCTCGTCGCGGGCGTGCAGCCGGTGGATCAGCCCGCGCTGCACGAAGCTCTGGCAGGCGGCGCGGCCGCGGCCCCGGCTCAGCCGGATGGCAGCGTCCAGATCCCGCAGGGCGCCTGGGCGGGAGGGGAGAGGTGTTGGGGCGGGTGCGGGGTACCTGGGGGGGCACCCGTGACCCATCCGCCCTGCTCACCTGCCACGTCGCCCCGCAGCCGCAGGGCCTGGGCCCGGTTGTTGTAGCCCGAGGCGCGCTCGGGCAGCAGGCGGATGGCCTCGCTGAACCGCTCCAGCGCCGCGCTCACATCCCCTGACTCCGCAGCAGACACCCCCTGCAGCTCCAGGTCCTGCACCTGCTCCAGCAGCTCGGGGGGGAAAGCTGCCTCTGTGGCAGCACAAAGGGGAGCTCATGGTCAGGGAAGTGTCCGGCACCAAACCCCCCCTGTCCAGGGGGCAATGGGCATCGGGATGGGGCTGCTCCCAGCCCCCAGAGCCTCCTTCCCCTGCCCACGCACCCTGCGGCATCACAGGGACCCTGTTGCCCTTTCCAGCCAGAACCCATGCAGTGTCTACTCACCTTCCTCCTGGGTGCCATCCTCCTCTTCCTCGTCCAGCCCAGGGATGTCCCCGAAGGGGGTGCTGGGGTTAAAGATGGTCTGCAGGACGGCCCTGTCGTTCGCCGTGGCCATGGTGCCCTCCCTCTGCGCGAGCCCCTGTCAGGATGCGGGCGGGTGGCCCATGGCAGGTTAATGTTCACCCCGTGGCACCGCTTCCCCCTTCCCCATCCAACCCCAGGCCATGACCTGGCCGCACCACCCCTCTGTGTCCCAAAGGCTCTTCCAGGAGGAGCAGCCGTGGCACAAGGAGAGCACCTTCTCCCCCCCCCCTCCCCAGGAAGAAATGGAGAGCAGCCCTCTGCAGCAATAAACTTGACATGTTTATTAATTAAACTATCACTTAAATAAAAAAAAGTGCATAGAAAATAAACATGTTTAAAAACTCCTTTGTTTTTTTTTTGGTTTTTTTTACAAGTATGTACACTTTTTTTTTTGTTTTTACATTCAGTCTTTTGCAGAGCTTTCAGCATTTTTTAACTGTTAAAGTATTTCCTTCTTCCCTGTGGCAGGGAGTTAACACTGATGGACTTTAGACACGGTTCCTCTTTTTTTGTGTTTTTTTTTAAAAAACCAACCCAACCAGAAGCTTGGAAGAACACAAGGGAGAAGAAGAGCTCGTTATACATGATAAGGTGTCAAGAAATGTAGTTCTAGAACATAACCTTGCCTTGGCAGAGCTTTTTTTTGTCTTTTTTATTTTTTTTGAAACAATTATTCACCTACCTGTAGTTACTAAAGAGACTGTTAAGTTCAATAAAAGAAACACCACAATATAGTTCTCGGTTGATAAGACAAAGCTACTGCACCTCGTTAAAGAGACCAGGAAAGCACAGAGCACAGTTCCCCATATGCAGGTGGTACCCCAACATTCATAACCAAAACGAGAGGAAGAAGAGGAAGAAACCAAGTTGTACACGAACTGACTGGGCACAAGAAGGGCGAGAGGGCCGCGCGGCCCGGCTCCCGCCGGCGGTAGCCACTGGAACACGATCCTTACCTATAGTGTTAAGAATTAAAAGCCATGGACCGATACTGCACGAGGCGGCGTTACACGGTGCGTTTCTATAGTAGTTCCTATATATATTGTATTTATAGCTATAAAAACCTGGCGAGTGCTGAGTGAGCAGTAGTATGGGTGTGAATGGTGCGATGCCGCACAGAGACCGTCCCGCTGGAGAACCTGGTATTGCTTCGAAATGAAAGAAACCAGAAAGGAAAGATACCCAGCCCTTTGCAGTGACCCGCTTCTCCTTAGGAAACGAACACAGACAACAAAAATAAACGCCCCAAGGGTCCTTTTTTTGTGTTTTTTTTTCAGTATTTTCAGATACCGTGATCTGCGTCAGTCCTCACAAAATGTACATTCAGACACGGGGAAGAGGCGTCGAGCCCGCGCGCTCGCCGCCACGGCTCCTCCCGGCCCTGCGGCGCAGCGCGGCTCCCGCGGCACACACAGTTCCACTGGCCCGCAACAGCAATAGCAGCAAAGCAGCAGCGGCCGGGCCCACTGGAGGCGCCGGCGCTCGGCTCTCAGGGGTCCCACGGCCGCCGCTCCCCCCACACCAGTGGCTGTGGGCAGCGCTGCCCAGCCGGAGCCTCTGCCCACCACCAGGCCGATGGATCGGGAGGATCCATGTGCCAGGGAGGATGCTCCTCCTCTCCCAGCCAGGCCCGGAGGAGAGAAATGGCAGCAGAGCCCAGCTACTGGGGCAGTTTTGGGCTTTGCTGGGCTGACCCAGCGCTGCCGTCAGAACTGGGACAGGAAGACCAGAGCAGCGGTGCCCGGGGACATGGGATGAGGCCCTGGCCCATGCTTGCCGGCCTCCTCAAGGTATGTGCGTTCCCAAACTGTCAGTGCATCATCAAATCATCTCAGTGACAAATGCAGCGTCAACGCGACTCCTGTCAACAGCCGTCACCGAGTCCTCGCCCCACAGTGCAATAACAAACAGAAACCGGCAGCTCCTGACCCACCGAGCGGCGTTCCCACGTCACGGGAAGAGGCCTCGGGTGCCCCGCTGCAAGCACAGGGGTCTCTGGAGGTGCTCTCAGCCCTTCCCCACATCTTGGAGCTGCACTCCCACCCACCAGCGCCTGGACGGCTGCTGACCGACCCGCAGGGAAGGGTGAGGGCGAATCCCGCTTCCTCTTTTCCATGGAAAGACTCATTTGCCTTCAAGAGCGCCTACGGATGGGGCGCATGCCCCAGCCAAAGAGGGGTCGGGGCTCAGGGCTCCCTCGTTTTATCTCAGTTTTCCCTCTAAATCCAGGCAGGATGCAGAGGCAGAGGGATGCTCAGCCAGAGCCTACCTCCTCCTCAGCCAGGCCACGCTCCCTCCTGCCCCCATCTCACTCATAAGTTACGTCTCAGGTCCAGCCAAACCTCCTGGAAACGGTTACTGAAGTCAAAAAAGCAGAACAAGAGTAAAAAAACCCAAAAATAAAGTGTACCCCCCTCTCTGGCGAAAGGGCCGGACTGGGTCCGGCGTTTCCTACAACCGTCCTAGGAAAATTAAAAAAACCCTTAAAAAGAGATTCTCTTAAATTAGGATAATACCACTGTTTAAAAAGCCTCGTCATAAGTGCTTTCCCCTATGAAGTGCTTCTCATAGAAAAATATACAAAATATATTTACATTTATAAAACCTTAAATACTAAACTGTAAACAGAACAGAGTAAAACCCAACATCGTCGCGTGGTGGGCTCGGGGCTTTCCGCTCACCTCGGGGCTGGCCCAGGCGGGAGGAGGACTTGCGCTACCGAACAGGGTGACAGCGGCTCTTCACGCGCTGCTTAACGGAAGCTCTCACCCCAGCTCTCCCCAGCCACGTCTCCCCTCGCACTAGCTCCCCGGTGGCAGAGAGATGGAAACCTGGAACGTCTTGAGCTGCTGGAGACAGGACCTGGGAGAGGGCCACTTCCCTTCTGCACAGCCAGAGAAAGCACCGCTGAAAGGAAGCCTTTGCTCGCAAACATCTGCAGCGCCCCAGCTGTTGGCACAAGCCCTGTCTCTGCCAGAAAACAGCAGGAATTCCCCTGTGCTCAGGCTGGGATTTGGCAGCAAAGCGTGAGCCCAACCCTTTGGTCTAGCTGGGGGCTGCTCTGCCCTGCTGCCCCAGCTGAGCCCTCCCAGGTGAAGGCAGACCCATGCAATGCAGCAGCCCCCCGCGCGCCGGCTCTCAAGTAGTGTTTTGCAGCACAAGGGACGATGGACACGTGCGGTCCTTGGGGCAGGGGGCTGGGGCTGCAGCCCTTGGAGGGAAGCTCACTCCAACATGGTGCTACTGAACTTCCGACACAGCCCTCGCACAAGGAGAGCTCCCTCTGAGCCATGAGCCAGCAAGGACGGACCAATCGCTCCCCCACGCTCGGGCCTGCGCCTGGGCTGACCTCTTGCTCCCCTCCCTTAGCATCTCCTGCTCATTAGCCCCACGCTAGAAACAAACACTGGGGTCAGGGGAAACGAGAACAGCAAAAACACAATCACGCTGAGGCTCTTCTCCAGTCGCCCATGTCTTTCACAAGGGTAAGTGTGCACATGCGAGACATGAAGATGTGGACTCTGACAGAGAAACAGCTGCCGGCCAGGTCCCGGAGCCCGGCCCACCTCGACTCCTGCCTCTGGCCTCCCTGGCCTGGCTGAGTGGCCATGGAGGGCGTCACACGAAGCTTTGGTTCGCCCCGGCCGCTCGGGGCTCCCTCGCAGCCGACTGAAGTTCTAGTTTAAAAACTTCCTGCACTTTTTGGCGCCGCAGTTACAGGGCAGCTTGTTGCTGGCGTCCTCGATGGGGAACTTGTAGTCGTAGGTGAGCTCCTCCCCACGGTAGATCTTGCGCATGGCGAAGATGACGATGTGCTTCTGGCCGTCGATGTTGATGACCCGGGAGTAGCAGTTGGGCTCGCAGGAGTGGTTGATGAAGCGGGCCGCGTTCCCGTGCATGGTGGCATCCACCACTTCCGAGTCGTCAATGCGGAACATGTAGCAACCGATGCCCTAGGCACGAGGACAGGGAGAGGGTTACCTCCGGGAAGTGAGATCAGAGCCACCCTAGCAGACAGCCTAGCTCATCACAGCCACCCAGCATCAAGCATAAGGGTAACTGCACCCTCTCTCCGCTCATCCGTGCTTCAATCGTTTCACCTCTGTGGTCTTTGGATCTGCAAGACTTGACTGAGACCCTTCCCAGCCCACATGAGGAAACAGGAAGCGCTTGCAGAGCTCTGGCAGGAATGGAAGTATCCCGAGGAGCCCGTAAGCCCGCTTCCTGGTGCTCCAATGTGGTTTTCACAATAAGCCTGTCCTACCGTCACAGTCACTTTCTAGCTCTCCTAAAGTCTTTAAGAACTTCTGCAAAAGCCCACGACTCACCTTACTGTCGTAGTATTTCTCTCGTTTGTCAGTGAGGATGGAGCGAATGACATTGCCTGAATATTCGATCACCATCTCACCTGCATCGATGTTCCTTTTGCAGAACAGACCCCGGCCATGGATGGGAGACCTGAAAAAGTGACAGGAACAGTGACTGTTTCAAAGGGTACAAGCGAAGCTCTGCAAACACTGCAGAAGAAGGGTTAGTCACCACAGGGATCACCGCGGTACCAGCCCTCATCCATAACATAACACTAATGCCAGGTCCCTCCTGCCCACCTCTAAGCATATGCCTCAGCCACTCCAAGGTGAGCCAGCAAGGAGTAAGGTTTGTGATGAAGATGGCCTTTCAAATACATAACTTGTGCAGGGAGAAGGAGGAGGCACAACCCCAGACCTGCTTTTCCCCCCTCAATCTTGCAGTCTGTATTCCTAGAAGGTTTCCAGATTTCACCTTCCTCTGTGCCAGAGGCAGTGGCACCAGAGCAGAACCGTACCTGTAGACACCAACTGCCTCCTTGGAGGTCTTCTTCAAGTGTCGGAAGCGCATGGGCATTGGCAGATCCATACTAGTCGCCCTCCTAGAACAAAGAAACCCTGCTGAGTGACAAACTTCTCTTGAGAGCCTGTGCCACGTGTTATCTAAGAGGTTTTCCAACACATAATCATCTAGATGCTGCAACACTGCAGCCCACCGAGGACACAAAGTTATTACGGTGCTTTCATAGATACCTGAAAGATAATTT